GCATAATATTAATTTATTCTTAATGTATGAAAGGAAATCATTTTTGTAGCGACAGAAAATTTTGATATATATTTCTTGAAATTTTATAATTTCCTTTTTTTTCTTTTATAATATTTCTGGTATTTGAAAATAGATTACCTTTTTTAATATTATATTTTTTTGGAAGTTTCAAAACAACAGTTTTTGACATTTAATTAAAAACTTCTCTTACCCTGAACGACATTAACGTCTAAATGGTTTTCTAATTGCTGTTCAACCAGCTATTCTGAGGAAAAGGTAATCACATGTCTTAAAGAGGAAACGGACGAGTCTATTACTTGTTGGGGAGGGGGATAGTCAGGAATAAGCGACGCAAACAATTTTGTAAGGAAAACTAGTATAATTATTGAGAAAATTTTCATTCTAATATTTTTGTAATTATGTATTTTAAAATTTTAATAATTAAATATTAAAATTATTTTATTATAATTAAAATTGCTCTGAATTTACCATTATCTCCTGTTACGCCGCTGTGTTACTTCTAACATCTGTATTTTTGGATATTGCAATTTGATTTATAATTGATTGGTTTCTAATTGCTGTACAATGAAAGTAATCATCTGTCTTAAAAGAGGGGGAACAGGACGAGTCTATTATTTGTTCCAAGTGAAGTGATAGTCAGAAATGGGAGATGCAAAACAATTTTGAAAAAAAAAAAAAAAAAAAAAGTTGTATAGTTATGGAGGAATTTTTTCATTTATTATTATTATTTTTTTTGTTATTATGTATTTTAAACTTTTAATATAAAAAAAACATTAATTATTTTATTATAATTAAAACTGCTTTAAAATTATCATTCACTCTTGTTACACCCAGCAACTGGAATTTTGGATAATTGCAATTGATTTATAATTGGTCGAAACCAGGTGTAAAACCAGTTATTCAGTGAAAGGTAATCATCCGTCTTAAAGATTGAAACGGACGAGTCTATTACTTGTTAGGAGAGGGATAGTCATAAATAGGAGGTGCAAATTAATTTTTAAAGAAATAGTTGAATAGTTATTGCGAAAATTTTCATATAATTTTTTGTTTATTAAGTATTTTAAAATTTTAAATTATCTTTATTATAACTAAAACTGCTTTGAAATATCCTCGTTATACTGCTGTTACATTTTATTATAATTGATTGCTTTTCTAATTGCTGTTCAACCGGCTATTCTGTGGAAAGGTAATCATCCATCTTAAACAGGAAAATGGACGAGTCGATTACTTGTTAGGGAAGGGAAGTGATTGACAGAAATAGGAGGTGCAAAACAATTCTGAAAGAAAAAAAGTTGACTAGTTATTGAGGAATTGTTTTCTTATTATGCGTTTTAAAATTTTAATAGTTGAAAACTAAAAATTATTTTATTATAATTAAAATTGCTCTGAAATTACCATTCCCCTGTTACACCGCTGTATTTAAGTCTAGAGCTGTAAATTTTGAATAAATACAATTGATTTAATTATTAAAAAATCAAGATTCTTGTAGTGAAATGTTTCATACGATGTCTGAAATGAATTTTCTTTTAATATATTTCAGGCTTTTATCTGTACATGGAAGCTTCCGCTCCTAGGGCTGTAAATGATACAGCGAGATTATTTTCTCCCGTTTTTCCGTCTGATTACAGTGGAGGTTGTTTTGTTTTCTGGTATCACATGTACGGATCGACCACGGGTAAGTCATGTTTTTCTTTTTTTACACTCAAGTCATTGCGCATGTTAAATTCCAGCTTTTTTCGTTTAATTTTCGAATGATGGTAATACTAAAGCTCACGTAAATTATTTTAATAAAATGTGCTTTATTTTTGAAACTGAAAGAGATATTTGGTATAGGTAAGAATAAAAAAGATTGGTTAAATTGAAAATGAAACAAAATGTTAATAGCCATTATCAAGCCATTTTCTTACCATTTGACTGTGCTACAACATGATACTGTAGTACACTATTATATTATACTGTAATGAATAATAATGTATATTATACATTACAGTACAGTACACATACATATGTTATACAAATATTATTCATACTGTACAGCATAATACAGTATATATTATACTGCATACTGTAATACTGCTATAGCGTTCGTTACTGCAGTACAGCTTCAAAATGAGGAATGATGGTTAATATTGTTATTCAACAAAATAATAAGGATTTTATTCATTTTGATTTGGGTTTTAATTTTAATTTTCAAGCAATGAATAAACAAACAGCAAGATAAAAAAATATGTAGCGTTATTTTTATGAATTAAGATAAGATAATACATTTATTTTTACTGATTATCTCATAACTGTTTCTATTTGATATGTAATTGTATAAAATGAAGTATAATTGATATAAATTAAATTATTTCATGATTATGATTATGAAAAAAGAAAAAAGTCCCTAACTTATTAATGCGTTTATTCATTATTTTTAAATTTAATATATAATAAGTATATTTCAGGCTTAAGTTTATTTTTAATTGCAAAACATTATTTAATTTTTTGGCTTATTATATTTTTAGCCATTTTATACTGGCAAAAAATTAGTTAGGTTCATCAACTATGTAGGGGATATGTGGGGTAAATCTTTTGACCGGTAGTTTCTAATAACTCAATTTAAGTAGCTGGTGTGGAAAAGGAGAACCCGTTCAAATCCATTTTAGTTGTGGTGGTGAAATGTGAATGCAATATAGCAGGCTTCTAATGCTGCATTTTGGGTAACACTGAATTTGTTAATATCAGTTGTTTTAGAGGTGAATGGCCTTCAAGTGTTAAGACAAATAAAAAAAAAACAGTTCAAAAGTATTAATAGTAATTTTATGTTTTTGTATAAAAATATTATAGAGGTATGTGGTTATAGTAATAATAGGCTTTACAACTGATTAAAGTCTCTTTGCTATTAGAATAATCATTTATTAATAAGAATTCCTATTTAAATATACTTATGTCTGATGTCAATGAAGATGTTAATATTAATCTCTAACAATGAAATTCAACACGCAAACATGTTTGATGTTCATTGATAAACAATAAATATAATTATGATGTTCACTGATAAACGATAGACATAATTTTGATGCTCATTGATAAACAATAAACATAATTCTGCTGCCCATTGATAAACAATTTTGCTGTTTATTAATATACAATAAACATGTATGTAAACAATTTTATGTTTACTGATAAGTAATAAACAAAACAATTTTGATGTTCATTGATAAACAATAAACATGTAAGCAATTTTGTTATCAGTGATAAAAACATAATCAATTCTTTCCACGGAATTTTTCTAACATTATTTTTACCTGAAAACATATTTCATACATGATCCGATACATCATCATTTCCTTTTATGCAGTACCCGTCCATGTTTGTAGCCATTTGACGTTAACCTCCCACTATAACAAATAGATGAGTCGCCGAACTCTAGTAAATGCTAGCCATCAACACTAGTGACATGCAGAGAGGATCTATGTTATCATTTTCCGATCCACTGGAAAACGGGTCTGAAGGTGGTCTTTAACGGTCCCGTGAATAAACTCAATCATTGCTGTTGGCCCGTTTCAATATCTCAGTGTTAAGACTGCATTGTAAGGGGATTTGTAAAGTTTGCTAATTCTAGCTGATTCATTCCTTCTTTGAATTATACGTTATCTGCAAAGTTAGAAATGTGGTCAGTTGTGAGATTGGTGGGTGAGTGCAAAAATTAACTAAGGTTGATCGATTAAAATGTCGAAAATAGTTTATTTTATCAATTGCCTTGGTATTTTTCAATTCCTACTATAGTTCACACTTTCCCTATATATAATATATCTTGTTCCCATTTTCAATCGCTAATAAAATACTTTTTATTCATCCACTCAATCTCAAAAACATTTTTAAACTTTGTAGTGGATGACACTTGATGTTAATACAGTTTTTCAAATATTAATACATTAGTTTTTGAAAAATTCAACTTTGCCATTTAATATTGTAATTCTGTCATATGTATATACATATTTATATTAATCGTAACTATTTAATTGAAAGCAACTATAATAAAATTTTTCTTTGTTGCCCAAAATAGGAATTGACTTAATTTTATACTACTTGTTAGATTATCTACTAACCACCTGTTAAAGTGAAAATAAGATATTTATCAGAGCGGTAGCAAGTTTTAAATAGCTTAAATTATTAGACAGGCAAAGAATTTAGTAATATTTTAAGTTACTGTTATGTATAAGTTACTGTTAATATTAACTGTTAATATCCATATTATAATTATAAATTATCAAATAAAATTATAAATTACTTCATATGAAAATCCACATATTGCAAGTAAAATATACTGAAAATTGTTGAAATATTGTGTTATTTATTTATGTTTGGATATCTAAAGAATTATTTGGAATAAAAATTAGTTTGACAGAATCAATAAATGAAGGGAATATTTGATAGAATCAATCAATGAACAGAATAGTCGAGAAAGATTATAATAAATAATCAATTAAGCAATAGTAATTTAATAATTGAATACTTTAATATTCAAATTTAATGGTAAAGTGTAAAAAATACTCTTATTTTGTATATGATTCCGTAATGTAACAGAACAAATCAGATAATATACCTAATGTATGTAATGTATAGTACCATTGATGTATTTCGAGATTTAATGATAACTTTTCTATTAATCGCACACTATTTTTCAGCATTATACCAGTATTAGATTGAAGGATAAGATTACAGCCAATGATTGATAGGATTGAGTAATTGCGTATTTTCTAAGTGTTACATATAGTAATCAGTGATACGTAAAAAGAAATGAAAATTGGCCAGCTAGCATTACATATTATATGCAATCAACATTTATTCCTTCTATTAACCGACATTCGTTTACATAGTAATCATATTCTTTATATATGCATCCACATATACATTACACACATGCCATATGAAATCTTGGTGAGTTACAAGAATTTTCATAGAAATATCATTCTTGTATGCTGTAATACACAACGGCCATACCATGCTGAATATACCGGTTCTTGTTAGATCACCGAAGTCAAGCATCATCGGGCGCGGTCAGTACTTGGGTGGGTGACCACCTACACTAGGAAGCACCGCGTGCCGTTGGCATTCACAAATTTGGGACTTGAATGGCCGAGTGTTCTAGCGCTCTGACGCTCGGTGCCACAGGTTTCAGGTTCGAATCTTGGCGGTGTCATGGATATTTGTAGTGGTTCGGAATCCACTTTTAGCCGTAGGTCCCGGTCACCTATGACTGTAACAGCGTCACGGAGCCAAAGTCAGACTTCTACCTACGGGTGCTCCCTCACAACAGAAGCTGCTTCCTTCCCCTTCAATCATGAGTACGTATGGGCTCGTGGGCTTGGCCAGCCAGTGGGATAAGAAACAACAACATAATTTTGAAAATTTTATTTTGCATACGTTATGAATCAATAATAACATAATTTTATGATTAAGTGGCATTCTTTAAATGTCCAAATGTTTTTTAAAAGGTTTTTAAAATGCAATCAGAGATAGACATATATATGGGAATTGTTTTGCCGCTTGCTTTTGTATTCTATCTAAATGAAAATACTCGGTAATGCTATTTGTACTAACATGGGAATGATTTAGTTTATGAATGAATGGTAATATATTGATTGAGTTGTTGTTGTAATATCATTGCCTGCATATTTTTCTGATTGAAGCTTATATGGGGTTGCTGGAATTATATATATGTGTTTAGAGCGCAATAATAAAGAATAAACTAGGGAGTACCGAATTACTATTTCAAATGCATAGTATTTAAAATATATGAAATTTATTTAATGAAACCAATATAGCATGTATTTTCGACATCAGGATGAAAGCTACTTTATAAACTGAGTTTGGGCATTTAAATAGGTATTAAACTGGAAGAAACATTTTATGTGCCCTGACTATATCATTAAATGGTCAGTTTAAAGCAGTAATATTTCTCAGTTGTTACTATATTTGTTTTATGAAACGTTTTCAGTTTGTCTTTTGCAAAGAAAAATGAGTGAATGTGCATTTTGCAAATATTTCTCAGCTGCAATCGTTGTGTCAAATTGCTATAGTGTGAAAATTTCGGTACGTTGACTATTTAAAGTATCCTATAATATTTTTAATAAAATAGACTAACACAAATATGCTGTATTCTATAGTAGATTATGTTCTTTTGATGATAAACAATGTGCATGTCTAAGAAAAACTCATTGAAAATACTTTTAAATTAAATTAGTTGGAAAAATGGAAAAAAAAGTGTAGAGAATATGTATTAAATTATTAATTTAAAAATGCATTACAAATCAGTGACAAAAAATATAATGTAGTTAGTAAAAAGTGTTACTGTATTTAAATAAAGTTACATAAATTTAAGTCTTTCACATACAACCCTCTCTTTTTTTTTTTAATAGTTTTATCTCTTTTCTACTATCCCAAACCGGCCTATAGTGCCACTTTCGCCCTTTGTATTAAAAGTGTGAAATATTTTTTTTTTCTTTATAAATCTATTCACCATTCATTCACATTCATTCACATTATGTATATTAATATGTATGACACTGGGATTTACCCAGAACATACATTTTTGAGTTCTAAACATTTATAATTATCAAAATGATATCTCTTCTATATATATATATATATATATATATATATATATATAAAATAAAAAAAATAATTTAACACAATAAAAAAATAATTTAAAACAATAAAAAAATAATTTGATGTCTGACATTAGATTGGATCAGGAAAAGTTTCCATAGTATTTTTGATTCCATTTTTCAGTAACCGATCCAAAGGGTATTGTTTTTATTTACCAACCTGGTTGAAAATATTTAAATACATGTTAATTCAAATTACTATATATGTTTATTACGTTTCTTCTCTTTCATTATTTTTATCACCACTCTAATAAAACTAAAGTTCCCCTTTATACTTTTTGCTACTATAACTTTTGTAACTTATAACAACCCCTCAAAACAAAATTTCAAAATTGAAATAAAAAACTTTTTTTTTTGAAAAACCCATTTGTCTTTATTTTCTAATCTTATTTAATTTTACACACCTTTTAAACTAAATTCTTATTAAGGAAAAGAGAAACTGTTATGCTTAGACTAGAAAAAAAAAAGCGGAAATGTTGACTGCAGTGTTCTAATAATGGGCCGATTAATCATTTTTTATGTTGCTTACTCGTCATATAAATATCAAAGATGCTAAGTCATTTTTTTTTTTTTTTATGTTTAAAATGAAAAAGGCGTTTAGATAAAATGTAACATTCAAGGAGCTTTTCTCTCTTTATTATTCTTAGAGTCGTTAAACGTCATGTTACTTGAATGGGGCAATTTATCAAAATTTTAAATGTTTGCTCCATAAATAACCGTCAAGGTTAAAATTAATAGTTATGTGTTGTTTATTTTTCAGAAATAATGGAAATTATTTAATAATTCACAATTTCGAAACTAAAAAATTGCCATTCTTTGGAATTTTTGATATATATATATATACACATATACGCACTAGCGCATATAAGTTGTAGCAAGTCTTCAGAAAATAAAACATTAACTTTTTTTTTTATTTAAATGCACATCTGATCAAAGTGACTTTGTTACATTTTTTCCTTTAGCACTTATTATTGCTCATTCTCGGTTTAATACATTCATTCCAATTTTCTGCTATCTTCACATTTTCTATATATAGGTGTGATTTTTATGTTAGAATTAATTCTAATCTGACACCTATTTTTGGAAAAATGCCTCTTTGAAGCTCTGCTATCTAATGTAACAGATGTGCAGTGGAGGGAACAATTACATGTAATACTGTTCACAATAGAACAAATTCATAAGGATTGCTCAACCTGTGCTTTAACGGACATGAATTCCTCATTATTTAATACGAAAGTCCCGTAGTAACCTTGCTGTGTTGACTGTGCATTAATTTTTCTTATGAAAAATGTCTCTTTAAAGCTCTGCTATCATATGCAACACGTGTCAAATGGTGGGAATCATATGTCAAGGAGGTCATAATAACAAATGATCGTTAGCCATTTATGTCAAATGTATGTAGATGAATGTACATATATTGTAGATCCTACAGATCACAGTTGTACAGGTCACAGATAACCATTTAGATCACAGTTGCAAAGATCCATACAAATAGTTTCACCTGCGTGAGTATGTCCAATGATGCAATCATGTGTTCTCGTTTTGGACAGTTCCCAGTTACTAGTTTCCAGTTCCTAGTTGCAGTTACCAGTCCAAAGGAGTTTCAGTTCCTAGTTACCAGTTACCAGTCCAAAGGAGTTCCCAGTTACTAGTCGCCCGGTTAACGAGCCGGTTGTGTAAATTCCTTCTCCTGGGTTTGAACCAATAATCTCTTTATGGTATTGACAACATTGTTAAGGTAGCAGGAAATTTGCTGAGCTGACTACCAAACCTCTATCATTGCAACGATTATTCTCCTCTAAAACCGACAACTTTTGACAGTTTCGATGATGGCCAACTACATCACCCATAATAAAGCGTCTTTCTACTATAGATAAATTGCATACAAAATATTTCAAAGATGAAATTAATAACTCCATATGGATGTACCGCAACGTTTTCTATTTATAATTTGCAAAATGCAATCAAGCCGCAATTTTAATCATTTGTGGCATAGATCCCTGAAAATGTCACATCCACGATAATGTTCACAGCTATTATTCTTAGTTCGCTATTTTACATAGCAATGAATATATTTATCATTTTTCATTAAACTCAGCTGCCTAAATTTATAAAAAAACTATGGAATTTAAAATTAATATATTTCAAAGCTGATAATTTTATTCGGTAATTTTCAAAAGAACTTTCTGTTAGTATAACAATATTTTTGTAGAAATAAATTAAATCACTTATTTATTAAATTTCATTTTGACTTTTGTTGAATTTTTATTGAAATAACATTATTTTAAAAAAGAGTTATATTTCTTAGAAAAAATCACAATAAGTATATTTCTTAGAAAAATCACAATAAGTGTATTTCTTAGAAAAATTACAATAAATATACTTAAAAAAACACAATACATTTATTTCTCAAGAAAAACAATAAATATACTTCTGAAAAAAAAGAAACACTAAATTTATTTCTTAGAAAAAAAAAAAATAAATATATTTCTTAGAAAAAAATAAAAAATAAATATATTTCTTAGAAAAAAATAAAAATAAATATAAATTCAAAATAAATATATTTCTTATAAATTCAAAATGAATATATCTTTTATAAATTCAAAATAAACATATTTCTTATAAACCAAAAGAGTTATATTTTTTGCACGTAATGATAATGATCAACGATCGACCGCAAAAAGTATTATCTATATAAAACAAGATAAATAGGCACATAGGAAAAAACATTAAACTTTATGTTATTTTTCGATGAATTATTTTGTGCAAAACAAAATATATCTTTTCAAATTGAATTTTAATCCCTCTTCTTATTTTCCAATCACACCTGAATCTCAGAAAATCCCTATACTTTCCCCTCTCCTTTTAGCATGGATTAACATTTTTCTTTATTCCTAATTTAAAAAACAAACAAACGATATCCGTATTCTTTTCCGTTAACTCGTGAATCTCTCAAATATCTGATGTCTGCAATAAACAGAAGCACTACGATTTAAGACATTCTATTTTTATACTCTTATCATTTTCTTGATATTTATTCCCAAGAACAACTGAGTGAAATTATCGAAAACATACACCGGTATTTTCAAAGGATTTCCGCTGAAAACACAACAGTAAATCGTTGCTTTTACATATTCTAATCTAAGGAGTATTTACTTTGCTCTCGTATGGATTTTTTTCATGTTTCGGCGGGAATCGGAATCTACAGAAAGTAAATATAGCGCATTCCTGTTATTCCAAATCTGAAGAAGAAGACATTTATTCTTCTTCTTGTTATTTTCTTTTTATTTCTTATTTTCTTGTTATTTTTTTTTTTCATTTTCTAGTACGTTATTCGAACTCCTGTTTATGTTATTTCACTTACTAGCTCTCAGGGACGGAATCTTTTGCGTCGGACTTGTTTTTTGACTTATTGACTATTTGCTTTCCTCGTAAATG